CATTGCGCAATTGACCAAGTCAGACAGCAACTGGAATAATTATGGCAATGTGCGTCTTGCGCAACGCACATGCCGATTTATTAATTTTTTAAAACAATGAGATAATTATTAACATAACAAATTATAAACCGAAGTTAATTAAATTAAAAGTTCGCACAGAAAAGGTGGGGTAAAAAATACGCCCACCACTTAGAAATTAATTTAATAACTAAACTAACTTACATATAATATTGCGTCAAGTAACGGGGAGGAGGGTGGGATATCAATTGACTTCAGCCAGAGAGTTGCTAGCCTGCTCGCAGCCTGAAATTTTCCCCTTCTAAATTTCAGGCTGCGAGCAGGCTAGAGAGTTGCGCGACCAGATTGAAGAGTAGAATGAACTGACGCACATACTGCTGTAGATTATATCACCACTCCTATATCCGCTTCCTGCGCATTACATTCATGTGACTACAAATTATCGGGGCTAATACCCACGTGTCCCATTACAATAGCTCCTTATCTCTAAAACTAGATGCAGGAAGCAATAAAACCTTTATTGGTATCCCAATAATTCCTATTTACCATGTCTCTAAGAAATGGGCCCCATATATGATTTCTAAACTGATTAAATGATGCTCCTATTATGCTTTGCATGCTTAGAGTTTAAGGTTTTAGAGTTTAGGGTTTTCAAAGATGACAATCTTTTTTGAATTAGCTGTATAAACAACCCTTCAGGCAAGATATTGATTATGAATTGGCAGAATCCCATGTTCGAAATACGGCAAAGAAACAAACAAGATTTCTATCGTGCTTTCGTCTAGCTTCGCCTCAATTTCATGTAAACAAACACTATAACGGAAACGAATTTCAGTCTTCATGCCCTGTTTCTTCATAGTGTCTTGTAAACGAAGCCTTATTTCAATATTTCCAGATAAAACGCATAACAATATTATATATAGCCAATTATCCAATTATACCTGTGATCCCTTTAAAACTGCCCCAACTGTAGCAGTGACTGACCGAGCGTGCGTCGACATGTCCGGCCAATGCCATAAGAAAGAGAATAAAAGTTATTGTAACTTTTGCCATGTTGAGAAAATGCGTGTGTCGTCAGTTGGCTTCTGACTGTTTTATATAAAGTCTTTGAAACAACCTGAAAGCGATTTTTTATACGAAAGGAAATGACGTGGGTAGCATATTTATATAATAAAGAACTTTCAAAGCTCTTTGTGTGCCCTAGTCTGTGAACAGAATGTATTGCATTGTGCTGTAATGCATGCAATTTTTGTAAATGCATTGCTTGTCGATCCCCAAGCTGCGCTACCCAGATCTAAATTCAGATTTCTACGCAGATTTATCCAGGTAGTTTTTATCATCTCATTCGTAAGAACTTCCCAAATGATATTTAACAAATATAAAACATTTTCCGTGTTGATATACAGTTATATCAACACGAGTGGAATTGGGAAAACGAGAAATTGTATGGAAACACGACGCCCGAAGGGCGGAGTGTTTTCATACAATTTCGAGTTTTCCCAACTTCCACGAGTGTTGATATAACTATATATCAATACGGAAAAAATGTTTTATATATTTTTTATAATATATAGCAATGTCAAAAGCCCGAAGTATAAGAAAAATTTCCGTATTTACAAGCGGCGGAAAATTTCCCGTGTTGACATTGAGTTATATCACCACGGCTCTTAGCCAATCAGCGTTCAGAATTTACAAATGCTATATTATAAAATAACTTATTTTGAACAACAACAATAACAACAATTGCAACAACAACAGCAACAACAACGATGACGGCAACAAAAACAGCAACAACAACAGCAACAACAACAGCCGTGATAACTTTTTAATCAATTTTTTGTAATTATTACAAAATGCCCTAATTACATTTTAAACTAACTGTTTTGGGTTTCGTAACCTCCTGGGGCGAGTTATTCAAAGCTGGGTTAGCTTAACCCTAGGTTAACCAAAAATTCAAAGCAAACTTCCCGAACAGCTTGTCAATAAACTTGGAAATATTTCTTTAGAGATCTTGTCTGAATCATATAGGAGTTTTCTTCTCTGACGTTTTGAAATATACACACAGAAATAAACAGACATAAATACATAAACTAAAACAGCAGGTTAAATTTTAACCGAGAGTTAGCACTAATCTAGCTTTAAACAACCGGCCCCATGGCATTGCATTTTTAATATGCGTCAAAAGAAAATTTAGGGTTTCTAAAACATTTCAAGTCCACATGTCAATTCCAAACTCCGTAAACATTCCCGAAAAGCCCTGTTTAATTAAACAACTTTTAGCTGGTACAACTTCGTAATCTCTTGAGCAGTGAGCGCTTTTTTAAACAATTTCATTTCGTCAATATATCCATCGAAAAGTACTTCATTGTAATTTCGACCAATCACAACGTCGGTATTTGTGCTGACGATGTCACCATGACAACACTGGGAGTCGCTTAACACAAGGTGATTGTTGAGGTAGAAATTAATGGTTTCACCGTCGTATGTCATCGCCAAATGATACCAATGATGCGCACGGATCATAGCAATATCATCCCAGGTTTTGTTGGCATGTGAAGTCACGATTGTTGCACCAAGTCTCTGTTTCCGAGTCTCGTCTTTTTTAACGAATATATCCCAACTTCCAGTAATAACTGTTTGGGTTTCGTTCGCGGTCGATGCGTTGATGGTAGTTACATTAAGATTGTTTATCAGTCCACCTTGTTGCTTTCTAAAGCCACTAGTTCGAAACCATAGACTTATGGAGAACGTTGAGCCCCATTCGTAGCCGTTTAAGGAGGGAACACTGCGTATAAAATAACCAAAATT